TATGAGCGAAGAATGTGTAAAAATATGGGCAAATACAAAAATAACCAATAAAGTGATGATAATGTTCTTGTGAGGTTTAAAAGGCGGTGTGTGTGTGTTGGGGGGGGGGGGGGGGGCGTGGAATAAGGATATTCAACACCAGTATCATGTAAATCAAGGGGGAGGGTATGATTAGACTTAAAGTAGTCTAACTTTTAAAGTTGTCTAACTTGATTTTGCAGTGAGGAGGTTAAAGATATTAATTTCAACTTTACAGTTAATATATACCAATGCAGAAATGAATCAAGTAACTGCTAAAAAAAAATAGACATATAAAACTTCCAAAATAGTACAGAGAAATTGGATGAGGAAAAAAGATAAATCCATAAGGAAGAAAAGCAAACCCAGAAACAATGGGTGAATAAATAAAATGTCAGATGTATACATGATGGAATATTATTTGGCCACCAAAAGGAATAGAATATGATACTGCTACACCGTGGATGACCCTTGAAAACATTATGATAAGTGAAAGAAGCCAGATGCTTGCGGCCCACAGTTCCTTTCAAGGTGCACGAATTCGTGCACTGGGCCCCTAGTTAGAAAATAATACAACATTATTTTGAAAGAGTTGAAGATTCAAGTACTTATGACCTGGCAATTCTACTCCTAAGTACGTTCCTAAAGGCATTCTTCAGTTGTGTGCTGAGATCACATTAAGAATAGTCATAGCAGCAAAATAAAATTCAAAACCACATAAAGCAAAGTAATGGGATATTTAGGGACATAAGTGTATATAGTAAATAAACCTGTTTTTATAAAGGAAACGAGGGCATGAAAACACAAAATCCAAGATCGTGGGAATGGGAAGGAACTGGGAGAGTCACAAGGGTTGGGGGGAAGGCGATGTTTCTTAAACTGGGTGGTGGGGTGTAGTGTCTGGTGGGGATGGGGCCGGGGGGATGGGGCAGAGTGTTACCTAACAGCCCAATGTAGAGGGAAGATTGGACAAACTCAGAGCGGTTTTTCCATGCATTTCAATATTGAATGCTAATAATGCTGGCCGCGAGTTTCTAGAAAAGGTTAACGTATTTAGCATCTTCCATTTAAGAAGCAAGGGGGAAAATACCCAGGAAAAATAGAAAAGAAAGAAGTAAAGGAACTACACAAAACAGCAGCAGCAGCAGAACAGATGTGTTTTAGAAAGGTTTCCAATGAAAGTTAAAGTGAAAAGTTTTCTACTTCATTCATTTGGGCCCCAACTTCTTTATTCTGCGCTGATGTTGACTAAGCCAGCCATCGCTCTCTGCGGTCACTCAGTGGTTGATTTTCTCTCTTCAGATCCCGCTCCCTCTAAGAGATGAGCCAGGAGCGCGCAGAGGAAGGACCTGCCCACTGCTCCTCCGCTCCAGGGTGCGGCTGGGGTGCAGCATCCGCCAGCGCCGCCGGGGCCCGTAGTATGTTTTTGCTGCCTCGGTCCCCAAAGCCTTCCAGCAGAAGCGGCAGCACTTGGTTGCCAACCAGCCAATCCAGACTTTTACTGAGAGGACAGGAAAACACATCGGCTGGATTTGGATGGAACTTGGCAGTGGGGACCCTCGGCGGATGCGTTGTCTACCCCCTCAGAGCACACGTGTATCTTCCCCCCTATTACTCCCCCAACCTGCTTAGGTATCTCTGTCCCTTCCCTGCTGCCACACAGAGATGATATAAAAGAGGCTCTTTGGCTATTTGCATTTTGCTTCCTCTTCTTTTCCAGATTGCAGTATTCAGCTTTGCTTCCTCCAGCATTACCCACCAGAGCGGTCCTTCCCTTCTCAGAGGGTTTGGGGAGGAGAGGGAGGCTTCCGGCATGGGTTTCCCGGAGAGGAGAAAAGTCAGTGTGCCGCTGACCACATGGGCCATGGCAGAGGCACCCTTTGGCATGACTGATTTCTAAAATTAATAAAGTAATTCTATTTTTATTTTCTTTTTTTCCATTGACTAATTTCCCATCAATCAGTATTCACCAACGACACTAAAATGGTTGGGACCACCTTCTCATTTTATGTCATTGCTGGGCAATTTTTTCAACTTCATTTTTAGAAATGGGAGCGATAAAGAGGTGTTTTATTCTTACACGTGGTTTCAGCAGGCGGTGGGTCCAGGCTGCTCCCCGAGGGGGGCCTCCTGCCCCTGGGAGGCTGGTCTGTGCCAATGTGTCCATGATCAGACCACGGCACGTAGATCCTCCGCTGGCACGCGAGCGTGAGTCCAAGGGCACACCGTTTCCCAGACAACCCGTTACAGGGACGCAGGCTTGGCGGCCTCCCGCCTGCCTGTCCTCCGCACTCTCACTCCCTCATCTCTCCAGGTCCTCCCTCTGGCTCCTGCTGGAGAAAAGGTGACAGGCCACCGAAGGGTTGACTTAGCTGCCTAGGGAGGTATTGAGTGAGAACCCAGCACCTGGGGTGTCTCCAACAATGTGCTGTAGACTCAGCATTGAAACCCCAAACGGAAAGGACACCCAAAGAAGCAGGGAGGAAAGGAACTTGGTTGCCTTTCATAATGAATGCGTTTGGACGCATTGAAGCCCTTTGCCTGCCTGTAAAGGATAAGGCCTGTCAGTTGCAAGAGAAAAGAGAGGCTGTTCCAGATGTTCCTGGAACTTCTGGTCCGTAGGTAGTCTGAAGGCCATCTTAGCTGTTTGCTAACTTGGTTGTCAGTGGTTTGGAGACGAGTGAGAATGCCTCCATAGTCCCCTGCTGCTGTTTGGATTTGGGAGACTCACCATATGGGTCTTGTGAGAAAGGATAAGAGGGTGTGAGCTCAGTAAAAGAACTTTTGGAACCACGGGAGTGCTTGGGATTGCCCTAGGTCAGTGGTTGGCAAACCGCAGCTCGCAAGCCACATGCGGCTCTTTGGCCCCTTGAGTGTGGCTCTTCCACAAAATACCACGGGGCGCACATGTACAATGAGATTGAAACTTCGTGGCCCATGCGCAGAAGTCGTTTTTCGGCCTGGGCGAGTCTATTTTGAAGAAGTGATGTTAGAAGAAGTGGGGGGGTGTCGGTCAGTCGACGGGAGACGCGGCGCAGGCGGGCTGCAGAATACGCAGCGCGGGGGAGGTACATTGTTTTGAGGTACGTTCGCTGAGGTCGACCCCTTCCAACTCTCCCATCCACACTCGTCTGTCTGAAACAAGTATACAAGACGGGTGTGGATGGGAGAGTTGGGAGGGGTCGACCTCAGCGAACGCACCTCAATCAGATTGAGGACGTTTTTAGCAAAGGCCAGCTTAGGAGTACCCTAATTAAGTTAATAACAATGTACCTACCTATATAGTTTACGATTAAAAAATTTGGCTCTCAAAAGAAATTTCAATCATCGTACTGTTGATATTTGGCTCTGCTGACTAATGAGTTTGCCGACCACTGGCCTAGGTGACTAATCAGAATTGAATCTTGAGCTGATTTCTTCCTGCATTCAAGGTCCTGAGCGGGTATGGACCAGACTCCCTTCATTTAGGCAGGTCCACTCAAACCATTTTTACTGGTTCTAGACTTCTCTTGGATTGTAGTCTGAGGGCCACCTTAGCTGTTTGCTAACTTGGTTGTGAATTGCGTTAGGAGACAAATTAGAATTCCTTCGTAGTCCCCTGCTGGTGCTGGGAAATCGGTGTAGTAGTAAACCAGACAGATATGACCCCCCTCCAACAGCAGTGTCCCTCCCCCCCTCCCCCAAAGCAAGCGTATAGTTTGCAGATGGACAGACAATGGCTCAAACTTCTGTAGTGCCTGTCAGTGACGCGCCCTCGGGAGGTTGGACGCCAGACCCCTGCCAGTATTCGTATTGCTGACTAAGATCAGAATAGAGCTTCGACATAAAAGGAACATTTGGAAACCCAGTGTGTGCTACTTTCTTTGGGATACTTCAGGAAACACATCTCGTTGCCTTGGTGCATTAGGATGAACCACAGCCCAATGCTTTAGTGATGTCCGTGGGGTTGGATAATAAGGAAAGTTTATTGTAGGACCGCAGAGATTATTTCCCTCTTATTTAAGCCTCAATGCGTTGTAAGGACCAACAATGTCAGGTATAATACACTGAGTCTCAACATGTAGTTTTTAGGCAGCATGGACCCTACCCCAGGCCTTAAAGACATCTCAGGAGTTGCAGCCTGAAATTGTACATTTTAAATAAACACTTGGGTCATTCTCACACCCACTGAAGTTGGAGAATGACAGCCATAGGTGAGTAGACTGAAAGTTGGGATAGCAGTGGCTACGGCCAAAGGGCTGGGCATGTTACACCCCCTCTAGCTCCACTGGCTCCCGTGGGTAAGGCAGAACACAGTCCACCTGCCAGGGTTGTATCCGTCCACCTGCCGGGGTTATAGGGCAGGGACACGGGGCGGGGGCTACGGGGGGGGGACACTGAGTACCGTGGGAGTAAATGATGCCACATGGATTGGAGGCTGGGAGAGAAGCCCTTAGCATTGGCTGGACATGGACAACGCAGGGAAAAGGTCCTGCTGTGCAAACTCAGGAGCTCAACCTGGGAGAACTCCAGAAGGAGCAAGGGGCACTCACACCAACATCGTCCACATCCTTAGACTTGAGAAATTTAGCCTAGGATAGACTTTGATTTCACCCGTGGCAAAGTGATTTCCACAGAGGAGCATGTGCCTCACTCCTGCAGAAGGCTGCTTTGGGTGGACATCGGTACCAGGATGGACTCTGCGCGGCCTTGGGATCTGTGACCCACAGAGAGCTCCTGAATTGCACTTTTCTCGCCCCCTCCCATCCCCAAGTCCCTGGCGAGAGGCCCCAGGTCTGAGAAGAGGTTCCTGCTAGCTCTTCCTAGGCTTCCTCTGATGGCAGACGTGGCCGCTTATTCTCAGGCCATTTGCCACAGGCAGTGTCTCTAACTCCACTGATTTGGACACGGAGATGAGATTTTTTTTTTCAATATATTTTATTGATTTTTTACAGAGAGGAAGGGAGAGGTATAGAGAGTTAGAAACATCGATGAGAGAGAAACATTGATCAGCTGCCTCCAGCACACTCCCTACTGGGTATATGCCCTTGATTGGAATCGAACCTGGGACCCTTGAGTCCGAAGGCCGACGCTCTATTCACTGAGCCAAACCGTTTAGGGGCGAGATGAGATTTTCAAAACGGATGATGTTGGTCACGTACAATGAATGTACAAATGAACACATTTCCTTATGCACGGTCCACCCCAAGTGCTTTTGCCCACAGTTAAATGGAGGTCAGATTCATACAGTGTACTTTCTGCAAATCTGAGCCACTTCCTCTGTGTGTCTGAGAATAATACACACTGAAGAAAACGGAACACAAGAGTGCAGTCTTCTCAGACGGCGGGAGGCAGCGCCATAAGCCACGTCCAGGCTGATCATGCTAATCAATGTATTCGATCAGCATTTGCGATTCTCTGCCCCAGATTCCCGGTACCTCTGATTAGCAGGTATGGACAGGAAATTAAGAAAATGGTAACTAAGGACATTTATCGAGTCAGACTTACACCTTAGAATAAGGATTTTACTGTTCTAAAAACAATCTTCCAGAAGATGAAATGATCCAAGATTCCCCAAAAATATTTATTTATACAAAGATTTCGAGATTAATATTTGTATTTGTCTTTATACCTCAGTCTACGTGTCTGGGGCCGAGTCATTGTGTGGCACACGTGTGACTTCCCCGTGTGCCCCACACGTAGCACCTGCTTCCAGGAACACCAGATGAACAGAGGGTCTTAGGGGAGAGGGAAGCCCATGATACCCCAAAGGCTGCGCACACCCCAAATTCAGATATGTGTACCCTGACCTGGAAAGTGTCTAGCCAAATGTCCAAGGGGAAATACCACCGAAGAAGAAGGCGAGAGGAGGGACCCAGAGGGAAGACAGGAGAAGGGTTACTTCGCACCTTCTGCTTCTAAGTTCAATGTACCCAGAGGGCCCCGTGGAGTTGATGGCCCGGGAACTACATTACCTGGCCGTTTTCCCTTTTATGACCCTTGATGCTGATTGATGTCCAGAGGACGGTTTGCAAAACTAACAGATTCGTCCTTCATCCCAGGTCGAATGAGAGACAACACTGGGACCATGTTTTGGTAACCGGTCTGAAGAAAAATGCTTGCCGTGTATAACGTGATCCAGATTCCCTAGAGCCGACATGGGGCAGCGATGAGCAAATCTAACCTCGGTCAGACGTGTCTTCCGGTCTGGCCCTGTCCCGGCCACTCTCTGCCTTTCCTCCTCCCTGTCTCCCCAACCCCATTGCCACACCACTTGTCAACTTGCCATCCCCTCTTCCTCTGTCCCCACCACCTGCCTACATCACAGAAACAGCTGTGTGTTCTGAAGAGTTCGGCCTTCCCCTAACCAGACCCACACTTCCTTTACCACAGTGATTCTCAGAGCCAACAAGAAAGAAATGTCCGGAAGGGAGCCCCCGTCTCGGCCATTTGCCCGACGCCGCAGGTTGTGGGCTCTGGGCCTCCAGGTGAGGTCTGTTGCTTTTGTGTTTCCCAAGGAGCAGGCAGGCCGGCCGGCCGTGGCAGTTCTCTCTCTGCTCCCTCGGCTGCCGGCGGGGCCTCAGCTGCACTTGCAGGACTTCACCACCATGTTAGAGAGATGCTCCACCTTGGCGGTCCTCCCGACGTAGTACAGGATGGTCAAGGGCTCCATGTCCTGGGGCACGCAGCAGGGCGCGGCCGAGGCTTCGGGGTTCAAGGTGGTGTACATGCCCAGCACCTGGGGAGGACACATTGCTTAGCAGTGGTTCTCAACCTTCTGGCCCTTTAAATACAGTTCCTCCTGTGGTGACCCCACCATAAAATTATTTTCATTGCTACTTCATCACTGTCATGTTGCTACTGTTATGAATCGTCATGTATATAGCTGATATGCAGGAAGGTCTTAGGCGACCCCTGTGAAAGGGTCGTTCAACCGCCAAAGGGGTCGCGACCCACAGGTTGAGAACCGCTGGCTTAGAGGCTGGAAAGCCAGGCCTCAGGCCTGAGACACTCCCCGCCCTCTAGGGCTGCTCCAGGGACTGAGCACGTGGTCCACACCTTGGACACACGCTCAGCTGGCGTGGGTGACCTGTCCTGTTCGTCCACAGAGCAGGAATGGAGAGCATCCACACCTGCTTGCTAACAGTTTCAGCACATTCACAGCTATGGGGGCCTTCACACCGGTCTTGGAATTCTCTCTCTGTTAAGAAAACACTCCTATATTGGTCTTCCCAGTTCTAATTGGCCACTTTGGTGAGCAATGTACTTCGCAAAACATGGCCATTTGGTAATTGCCAGGGTGCGGGGGGTCCCAGACAAGATGTCTAACAATGAGCTGTAAGGAAAGTGCCTTGTGAATTACTACCCTGGTTTTATTCCCCTCACCCACCCCCCCGGGAAAGATGAGCTGGGTTCAGGGTCATGGACTCCCCTCTCTCTTCCCTTTTCTTCCTGTTGTTTCATTTAGCTGCTTCTGCATGCTTTACATCGTCTTTCAAAATAACTGTTCTACAGTCAGGAGGCTGGAATTACCAAAGTTCTCCAAGCGGTGGTGGAAGCCATTCTGCCCACATCACCTGCCAGCCATGCGCACACATCTCCAACATACAGGGTGGATGGAGTGAATTAATTTCAGAACAATGCAAAAGCTTTAGACAGGTTGAAAAATCTGGCTGAAACTACGTAAGTAAGTAGGAAGGGCAGAATGTGCCCAGGTAGAGTTGGGCCAGGTGCCAACATCAGAACCTTCACTGAAGGGATTTTACTCGCTCCAGCTCATCGCTCCCTCACTCAGCAATCAGTCCTTCATGCATCGTTTTTAAACAGGTGGCCTGGTGGACGGAGCCCCAGTACTCCCTGGGGCCTGAGCCCCACGCCATACCTTGCTGTGGGTTGTGTCTGAACTGAGGAGGTATGGGCAAGGGCCTGAGCAGAAGTTGGCGTAGTAGCCCTTAGGTTCGTGGACCCATTTCCAGCCCAGATCCTGGCGGAAGTCGATGTAGAGAGGGCGCACACAGCAGTTCTCTTCCACATTGCTGCAACACAAAACACGTTACAGAAACCCAACTTAAAAGCAAGCCACTGACATGAACAACTTCACAAGCGGCCCTCATCTCTGCACTCGGAGTCCTTACTGGCCATCGTCAGAGCGGGTCTAATCAATGGAACCCCAGGTTCAAGTGCATGGAGCTGTAGAGGCTATAACGGAGTTTTCTGCTAAAGACCCTGGTCCCAAGGACATACCAAGCAGATGTAGATGATGAATAAGAGCAAAAAGACAAAGGGGGGCCCTGCTCCCATTTACTTTATGAATCAAAGCAGAGACATAAATCGCTCCACAGAAAACCAAACACTGAATGTTATTAGCCAACTCAGCTTACTGGAGGCTGATTTTATTACCTTCCTACTGTGCATCAGCCAGAAATGAACTCTAAGCTCATGCAGCTTATGTACTGTGGTAGAAGACTGCTTAGACTAAATCTCAAGGCTGTCGAATCAAAATGAGGCATGTCCTTCTGTTATCAGACTCACAATTCCTAGGTCACCCGAATGTGATCCTCAAGACACTTCAGTTCTGTTGCCTGCAGAGACCCATTGGGCAGGACCCCTTGTCAGGTGGGAGCTAGTCTTCCTTCAGTATCTGCAGAGACCTAGGACTTGCTACTTCCAAGGCCAAAATCTGGCTTCTTTTGAGTTCTAGGGGTGAACGGTGGCAGACATTCTTTATTATCTTTTCATCCCTAACCCCCTTCTCTTGCTGCTTCCCATGACAGAGTCTAGAACACCAGATACTCGTTTTCCTGGCCTCCCTTGCAGATGGGGGTGGTCATGTAACGCAGCAATGACCAGATGTAAGGAGAAGCATGCAGGAGATGAGGGCAAATTTGGCAAAAAAATATTTGATTCGATGTAAAAGTCGCAGATGGAAGAAAAACGCTAGCTCTGCCTCTTCCCCTTTTCATCTTCAGCACAGACAAGCTACCTGGAGCTCCAGCAGACACTGTGACCATGAACAAGAGCATGAAAAGCAAGGCAACACATCAAACGTGGCAGGCTGAAGAGAGAGGGAAAGCCTGTGTCCCCAGTGGCATAATTAAGCAGCCAGACCAACCCTGAGCCTGCTGCTGCAGGCTGCTGATGAACAAGAAATCGTGAGTGGTTTAGGCCACAGTTACTTGCAGCCAAGAGCACCCATTCCTAACTGATGATGCACCACATAGAACAAATCTACACACCAGCCTGCAGACGGTTGGAGGCAACCACATTGCCTCTCTTACCCGTTCTAGTCCCCAAGCTCAACATCCCTCATTCATTTGACTGTTCCTCATAAGACATGGTTTTAGAGCTAAAAAATTTCCCAAGTCATTCTCCCCGATTCCATCCAGGCACCCTCCTCTCCAGCCAGACTGACCCATTCATGCTCCTTCCTTTACTAGAAGTGCCTCCTCCTCCCATGTCTCCACCCACACGCACTCGTCCTCTAAGACTCGGATTCCACACCCTCTGAAGCCTCTCCTGCATCCGGAGATGAACTCCAAATTCTTAAAGCATTTACCCTTTGGACCTTCTCACGAATGTGGTCATTTCTACCTTCTACTAACTGCTGTGCATGCTTTAGCAGCCCCTCCGTTACAAATGAGAAGGAGCTAAACTACTCCTAAATAAGACAAGCTCTGTTTGTTTGTTTTTTCACCTCTTCACTGAGGCTACTGAACAACATCTGAATTACTTCATTAATTTCTCTAGCTCAAATTGCCTGACACAAATGGAGACTGCCCTGTTTCCCCTCATCCTGTAGCTCCTTGGACCCTTCAGAGGGAACTGAGCACTTCTTTCATGGAAATTCCTGCAAGCATCGCCCACAGGCAAACACATCCTACACGTACTCTAACACATGAGAACCATTGCCCGACCAGCATAGTTCAGTGGCTGAGCATTGGCCTCTGAACCAGGAGGTCACAGTTTGATTCCTAGTCAAGGCACATGCCCGGGTTGCAGGCTCCATCCCCAGTGTAGGGCGTGCAGGAGCCAGCCAATCAATGATTCTCTCTCATCATCGATGTTTCTATCTCTCTCTCCCTCTTCCTTCCTCTCTGACATCAATAAAAACATTTAAAAAAAAACACACAAAAAAAAACATGAGAACCATGGAGAGGCTTCAGCCCACGCTCTCCTCCTGGTACTTCATCCAGGGCCTCACAGAGCTGGGCTGCAGAGAACTGGGGCGGGGGGGCTCCCAGAGAAACAGAAAGGTTTGTAAATCTTTCCTGAAGACGTTTGTGAATAGCCTCAGGGACCCTCCGTTGAATACCAGGAGGTACCCGTGCAGGCGGTCTCAGGAGCTCACGGATCCCGAGCGGCCCAGGCTCACCTAAAGCAGTAATTGGTGTCCAGGGCTCGCTTCTTCCTCTGACCGCCCTGGCCAGGGCTGTCCAGCCGGTGTGGGGGGATCATCATGAGGATTAGATGCGGGTTGTGGTTGTCCTTCTGCTTCTTGAGGCGTCCCAGGTCTCCACGGCCGTGATCGTCCTCACTGTCCACACCTACAGGCGGGAAGGAAGGCGACAATCTCCTGTGTAAGGAAGGCAGAGTGGAGGCCGCCTTCTCACGCCATCCCATCCCTGCCCAGGAGGAGGGGCAGTGTGGTCTGTGAGGAAGGGAAAGACTTGATGGGGAACCGCTATCAGAAGAACCCACAGGACAGCCCTGGCCGGACCCCTCATGCCGCCTGTGTGCGTACACCTGAACAGATGTCGAACCTCAGAGGGAAGGCAGGGAGGGTGGATGGGAAGAGATCAACCAATGAACTTGTATGCATATATGCATAATCCATGGACACAGACAACGGGGTGGTGAGGACCGGGGTGGGGCTGGAGGTGGGGGGATGGGAGCAGGCTGGAAGAGGTCAATGGGGGGCGGGGGTGGCAGCAAGGGTGAGCTATGTAATACTTTCAACAATAAAGATTTTTTTAAAAAGGCAGCGAGCCTTTCCTGAGAGGCTCCTGGACCCGTGAAACATCTGTCACTGAGCAGCTACCTAACATTTCTTTGGGCTCTTCATTTAGATTCTGGGACTTGGTCTCTTGTGGGTGTGAGTTCCCTCTTATGATCTGAATTGGTCAAGATACCCAGAAGTCCCTGCTGTAATTTAAGGTGTCACAATTGTAAGACATCTTGAATAGAAGGCAGAGGAATGAGACTGAATCATCGTTCCCATTCAAATGTTTTCACTATAAAACTCAGAGGAGCTAAGGAAGCGCGCAATAATCAGCTTAGCAAACAGACTCTGGGAAGAAAACCTGCTATTTCATCTGAAAAGGAAAAGAATGGAGACTGGATTGGAAAGCGTCTCAACTGAAAGGACGTCTATATTGTGACAGACAGCTGCCAGCTATGGCCCATCTCCACCCAGGACGGGACCCAGGAGGTTAATTTACATGTAACTGGAGGGACTTGGACCTCACGCAGGGGCACCTGGGCCGTGAGATAAACAAGAGGCCGGGGTTTCCAAATTCCTTTCCTGATGATCTTTATGAGCAAAACTGAAGTGGCAGGATTTCGTCCTGACCTGGCCTGTTGGTACAGACGCCAAAGATCTGAGCTCTGAGGTTCTGTACTTAGGATGTCAAATGCTTGGCTTAAAAAATAAAAAAGGCTCGGAAATAGAGCCCCTGACAGGCAAAGGGACTGCCCTGGGCAGGGAGCCAACAGGCCTGCACCGTTTTCCAGACAGGCCTCGGACCTCAGGCTTTGACGTGGTTGCTTTGACCTTGAGGAACCACCTGGCTTCAGTGTGCCTCATTACCCAGAATGGGATACGGAAGGGAAATCCAGAGATGGTCTAGGTCAGTGGTCGGCAAACTCATTAGTCAACAGAGCCAGATATCAACAGTACGACGACTGAAATTTCTTTTGAGAGCCAAATTTTTTAAACGTCAACTATATAGGTAGGTACATTGTTATTAACTTGGTTAGGGTACTCCTAAGGCTTAGGAAGAGCCACACTCAAGGGGCCAAAGAGCCGCATGTGGCTCTCGAGCCGCAATTTGACGACCACTGGTCTAGGTTGAGCGCCTTAGAAACACATTGGAAAACCTGAAATGACTCTCAACTTTTTCACCATCTCATCACAAACACCCGGAGCCCTGAAGCCGTCATTCAAACCCAGGTGCCGCCCAGGCAAGGATCAGGGGGGCTCTGTAACACCTCAATTCACAGCCACCAAAGTCCATTGCTTTTAGGGAAGCGGGAGCCGACTATTATTGTTGAGTATTCCTGACACTGTGTTATACACTTGTCATCTCATTTAATTTACGTAGCAACCCTGGGAAAGAGGTCCTCGCACCCCCATTTTACTGGCTGAGCGCAGAGCGGTGGTACCAATTACCTTCACGATTTCACTGCTCTGACCAACCCAGCAGTGTCTTCCAAATGCTGACGTGTGCTCTACGTCTAGAAACTGACAGTCACGCTCATTGTTTTGGGGGCAAAGCAGAATGACTCGAGTACAGAGAGTGGCCATCTCTGCGAGGGAGCCTGGTCCCTCTGCCTGGGGTCTAGGAGGGGACTCCTGTCCTGTGCACTCTGTTACCTTTGAACTTGATTTCCAACACCTCGTGGACGTTTTCCAGGATGTCTCCATTGGGCTGAAAGGTGTGACACGGACAGTGAATGCTGATTTCCAGACCTAAGTTGGACTCTGCAAAATAAGACACGGAGTGGGTGAGAAAAGCACTTTGTGTGATGGAGACATGGACGCCCCGCCCATGCACCGGAGGGCCGGGCCTCTGCTGCCACAGACAGAAGTGGGCTGTCCTGAGGGGCACAGGAGACAGAAAGGGATGCCAAAGCCAGTGCAGACCTTCCCACTCATGCTGCCACACCCCATGGATTTCTGGGGTTCAGGAAGGAGAATTTCAATAGTCATCTATGTTTAAAAGATGGTATTAGGAAAAAATTGTCACACGCCCAAAAATGAGGAGCGCCCAGTGGTGTGGCTCAGTGGTTGAGTGTTGACCTATGAACCAGGAGGTCATGGTTCGATTCCTGGTCAGGGCACATGCCTGGGTTGTGGGCTCAATCCCCAATGCGAGGCGTGCAGGAGGCAGCCGATCAGTGATTCTCTCTCATCATTGATGTTTCTGTCTCTCTCTCCCTCTCCCTTCCTCTCTGAAATCAATTAACACATTTAAAAAAAAAAAAAAAAGAGGAGCAGGAAGGAAGATAAAAAAGTCACACCCTCTTCAGTGGTTCTCAACCCTGGCTGCGCATTAGAATCACCTGGGAATCTTTTTAAAATCCTGATTTCTGGGCCTCATCCTCCGGAAATTCTGTTTCTTTGTGATGGGGTGGGGCCACAACGTTAGTAACAAAGAAACAGAATTTCCGGAGGATGAGGCCCAGAAATCAGGATTTTAAAAAGATTCCCAGGTGATTCTAATGCGCAGCCAAGGTTGAGAACCACTGATCTAGGTGCTTGTTGGGAGAGGAGGTACTCGAGCTAAGGATGAAGGGAAGAGGCAGAGGGGCTGGGAGAGTCCAGGGAAAGGGGAAACCTGAAGAACTCTGGGACTGAGAGGCAGTGACTCCAAAGGCCCCAAACTCAAAGAATCCATCTGAGTGGAGGCTGCCAGCATGTCTGCCAGGGCTGGGATTGTAGACATAAAGAGGTAGATCCCAGGGGAGATAAAATGAAAGTTACAGGTGGCTATATTTCCCTTAAGGAACGGAGCACGAGCAGGTAAAGGTTCCTCGGAGGTTTCTTCGGGAACCTTGTTCAGCTGCACAGGGAAGAATGAGAGAAAGCAAACAGCGCGTGGAGGCAGCTGTGAAACCAGAGCTGGGCCAGAGGAGGCTGCGGGGGGCCATGGCCAAGGGTCAGATGGCATGAGCCGGAGAGAACAAGCCCAAGGAAGCGTGAGGTGCCGGGTTTGATGACTGATGTTCTGGTGTAAGAGGGCCCGCTCTGGCCCTTTCTCCTATGAGTTCTGGGGTCAAGTGTTTTGGTAACTGAAATTGCGGAAGCAAGGAAACGAGTACAAAAAGTTGAGTGAAGTAGAAGAAAAATAAGTGAAAAAATTGAACTGAATCCAGTAGTTTTGTGCAGGGAAACCAGGTCGGGTTTGGTCTCATGTCAGTTCCGGTGGGTAAGACAATGAGAGACTTTCTATTGATCTGGAAGCAGCAGTGGTCGGGTACGGGAGGGAGGTTAAAGGTGTGGACTCTTCCTGGTTTAAGGCAGCTGAAGGAAGGCGCTGGAGCAGCTGAAATGGGCTACATGAAACAGTGGACTCCTGCTACCCCGAAGGGTTGAAGGTAGGCCCGGAGAGACCTGGAGCGGACAAGTTCTATGATTCTGTGAGTTGGAAAATCAAGGTGCAGACAGATGTGCTGGGGAGAGTCAGGGTTCGGGTGCAGGTGTGAGATGATGGCCTGGCTGGGCCGACAGGTCTGTCTAGGCAGAGAGCTCAGAGCGATGACCATAATCACCAGCATCCCTTGACTCCCTGTCAAGCACGCTCTGAGACCTCCATGCTGCGTCTGGATCTTTATGATAATCCTACAAAGTGGGAACTGTTATTATCCTCGTTATACAGATCCGAGGACATGGAGGCCTGGGGAAATTTAATGGCTTATCCAAGGAACTTGGCCAGTAAGTGGTAGAGCCAAGATTCAAACCCAGACAGCCTGATGCCAGAGCTACACTCCTAATTGTCAGAAACAAAGAGAGAAAAGAGGGGCCGACACAGAGCACCAAGGAAGATGCCCACACACTCATTGAGATGCAAAATGGTTGTTTTCCCAGTGTCCACCTTTCCTGGGCCAGGATGCTGGGTGTGCTCCCTGCCCCGCCTGCTGGGGGAGGCGTGGCTCTGCTCATGGAGGAAATGCAGGTGGGGTGGAGCAATAACTCAGGGGTATGAGAGGCTGGGACCCCAACCCTGGAGAAAGCTCCAGCCTGCTCTGGAACCCAGAAGGCAGCCTGGGAACCTGGCACATAGTAGGCTGTCAGGTGCTTGATAAATGAATGCAACACCAGATGTGTGACTCCGTTTCCTCAATAGTCCACACCACCAACTGCTCCATTCGCTGCCTTGTCTGTGGCCACAAACTCTGAAGAGGCTCATGAGCTCTGCAGAAGGAATAGGTCTGTGCACGATCCCCCTGTGCAGGGGGCAGGCAGCATCTGCCGAGAGGGAACGGAAGGTTCCACTGAAGAACTAACCTCAGAATTGGCAGCAGTGGGGATGGTGGGTGGGGGACCCATAGATTCTATTACGAAATTATCTTTTTGATGTCTCCAGAAGGATGGAAATCATTCTCAATGCAAACTGCTCATTGAGTTCTGCAGCTGTGAAAATAAGAACTCCTTCAGGGCGTCAAAGAAATCCAGGTGGAGCTGATCAAAATCAGGCAGGGAAGCTAAGGGATTCGTTTCCCTGGCCTCTCTCTGCAGCCACGTTGGGCTCCAGGCAGAGTGCTGTCTGAGTCAGAATTCCCAACAGTGCTGCTGTCAGCAGATCCACGTGGTCCTGGTGCTCGGGAAGAGAGATAGGACAGATTCCTGGTCCCTTGGAGCTGAGGCAGGGCCTCCAGCCCACAGTCTGCCAGCTCAGCCGCCCGGTAATGTCCCTTAGGTGGGGACCTGCAAACTCAGATGCCCACAGGGCCCAGGCAGGTTCTGGAAGTGAGCAAAGCAAGCTGGCAACCCATGCTAAGTAGGGACTTCCAGCCTCACTCCTGGGGGACACTGGGGAATGGTGGGGCCTGTGGTGACATGCAGGGAAGGAACCATTGCCTTATTTTCCAGGTGAGGGAACAGCGAGTGGGCGAGACATTTGGGACGTGTAAAATTCGAACAGCTCTACTTGGATGGCTACCAGGCCCTTCAAACTTAATGGGCCAAAATAGAACCTTCCTCAAACGTGCTCTTCTCCCCGTCTTCCTATTTCAGTAAGTGTTAGTTCAGTCCCAAAATATCAGAAATCACCTAGACTCCTCCTCTGTCCTCATACCCCACACGCAATCGGCCTGTCTTATTGGCTTCTCCACCAAAATATAGAATAAATCCACACCACCTCCATACCCCCTGCTACTGCCCTGGCCGAAGTGCCTCTTGCTCTCATCCAGGCTGCTATAAGGCCCTACCTGGCATTCCTGCTTTTCCCTTGACCTCATGGCAACCAGAGTGGTATGTAAAACAAATCACCTCACCCCATATCCCCAGCCCTGCTTATAACCCTCCTAGGATAGCTCATCACACTTGGAATAAGTACTTAAACCTGACCATAGCCTGACAGGTCGATATGGCCCCAGCTACCCCTCTGACCCCCAGCTCACTTGGCTCCAGCCATGCCAGTCTGTCTGCTGCCGATAGAACAAATCAAGCTTGTTCTCACCCTGGGGCCTGGGCCTTGCTGTTTCCGTTGCAGCGGTTCTCAACCTGTGGGTCGCGACCCCTGAAAATATATCCTGCATATCAGATATTTACATTACTATTCATAACAGTAGCAAAATTACAGTTATGAAGTAGCAACGAAAATAATTTTATGGTTGGGGGTCACCACAACATGAGGAACTGTATTAAAGGGTCACAGCATTAGGAAGGTTGAGAACCACTGGTAGAGCATCCTTTATCCTGACTTGCACAGGCTGGTTCCTTCTCCTCACTCAGATCTCAGGGCACAAATTCCCTCTTCTTAGAGATCCTCCCCGAGCATCTTATGTCGGACCCCACCCAGTCATTGTCACATTGCCCACTCTGTTCTTCATGGTACTTATCACTAACTGAGATTCTTCCTTGTCAATATGTTTACTTGTGTATTACGTGTCTCTCCCACCAGAACAAAGGCCCCATAAGATCTGGGATCTCACCTGTCTTGTTCACTGCTGAATCCAGGACCCGGTGCAGAGTGAGCAGCTAATAAATACTAGGTGAGTGAATGAAGGAAGGACACACAGGGAGTCAGTGGCAAAGCTAAGCCTTAAACCCAGATCTGTGACTCCCTGAGTTCTCTCTTCTTCCCTCTGTTTCATGAAGGATAAAAGGACCCCAGGCTCCTTTCAAAATGCTTATTCTCAGAGTCAACCTACCTCTTCGAGAGAGCCATTCACGCACAGTGTTAGTGACGTCGAAAGACAGCCACTCGGCGGTGCCCCGCGTGGGCAGGTTCTTGCCACCGATATAGCGTTGTTTGGCGATGTGCTCATCTTTCCGGAGTATCTGCAGGACAGAGAAAGGGTTAGGAATCCGAGGCCTGGACAGAGGCCCACGAGCTATGTCACAGTGCAGGACAGGTGAGGGGAGCAAGAGGAAACGAAGTTTCAGAATGCTGCTTTGAGCACCTTAGTTAACTCTCAGTCCTCTTCGTGACACACAGAAATGAAGGCTCAGAGAGGCAGGATTCCCACCCAGGTCTGCTCCGCTGGGTTTCCCACCAGGTTGGCCTCTGCTCTGGGAGGGGGCTCACCTGGAAGAGCTCGATCCTCTGCTCATTGCGCTTGGAGCTGGGGTTGGGCACCCTCAAGACCCGGAATTCTGCTCGGAACAGGTTGGTTCCATTTTTCTCCACTGAAGACACATTGAAGTGGAAAACCTTCGAGGTGATTCCTTTGGGGCAGACAGCCAACTCATCTAGGAGACAAAGCGGCGGGGAGGCGCAGCATGAGTGAGCCCATGCTGAGGGAGCAGTGGGATACCAGCAGACACTCGCCAAGGGGCCAAGTCCACCTGTGACCTTTCTGGAGGCTTGAGGCCTCAGACCTACCATAAACGTGGAGATAGGAAGAAGATCCTTGGTGGGCCTGGAATCGCACACAGACCAGAGAGAGGAGCAGAGAGACCCCAGAGCCCCAAGACGTGGCCGGAAGGCAGGCCAGTCAACTGTCATCACCCTCCTCCCATTGCCTTAACATCTTCTCCAGCAGGCTCTCCAGCCGGCTCTTCCTGCTCTTTCAGAAAATATGGATTCTCAGGAGATCTCAGGTGTCTCTCCTAGTAGTTTAATCATCTCATAGCCAGTGGGTTCATTCATTCATGTGTTTGTTCATTCATTTATTTTATTATTTTTTAAATATATTTTTATTGATTTCAGAGAGGAAGGGAGAGAGAGATAAAAACATCAATTGATGAGAGAGAATCATTGATGGGCTGCCTTCTGCACGCCCCACACTGGGAGATTAAGCTGGCAACCAAGGCATGTGCCCTGACCAGGGATCGAACCGTGACCTCCTGGTTCATAGGTTAATGCTCAACTGCTAAGCCACAGTGGCCAGGCTGTTCTTCATTTATTGAGCATGTGTTGAACAAATACTACGTACCAAGAACAGTGCTAACACCGGACGCAAAAAATGAACAGACATGGCCCCTGCCTTCAAGGAGCTTAATATACAGGGGAGATCTTAGTACATGGGCCCCAAGTAACAGGACCAGAGGGAAAGTGTCGAGGGCTTGCGGAGAAGCCCAGGAGTTGCTGCAAAGAGATCAGAAGAAGAAGAAGGAGGAGGAGGAGGAGGAGGAGGAGGAGGAGGAGGAGAAGAAGAAGGGGAAAAGATCAGAGGAGGGAGAAAGCAGAGAGCACTTCATGGAAGAGGAGATATTTGAGCTGGGTCCTGCAGGAGGAAAGAGCTGGAGGATGGAGAGGAAAGAAATTTCACAGGTAAGGTCTGCTGGAAACAAAGGCAGGACGGGGAGGAAATGCAGGGGAGTAAGAGTGACCCCACGCAGCCACGCTGGAGCCAATGAGATCCAGTTAAGACAGTAGATTGGGGGCCACATGCAGGGAGGCTGAAATATCAGACCGAGGGGTTGGATTTTATCGCATTAACAGTGGGGAGACATGGAAAGTGTCAGAGCAGTTCAGCGACATAATCCACAGCAGGTTTCAAACCGAATGAGGCAACATCGGTCTGGCAAAGAGCCCACATCTCATGCCTGGCAGACCCACAGGTGTTTGGATGTTTCTTCAGGCCAAGCTGGTCCATCACCATGGCTCCTTTCTCTCTAGGAGTTTCTTTCCTTGACTGTCCCTGCTATACCAGCCTCCATCACCCCACGGCCTCTTCATCCCTGTCCGCAAGACGAAAGGCAGCAAATGCTCTTCCCCACCCCCGAGAGCCAGATAAAAGGAAGATCTTATCTTTTCTCCTGTACACTTGACAACCTCAAGGTCTGAGCAGCAGTAACACCCAGAGAAAAACTTTCTACACAAATGGTAACAGAACTTGAAACTCAAGCTCAGAGACCCAGATTCCGCACATAATGGACATGACTGGAATGAGCTCATAATCACCCGAGGGGTGGTTTAGGAAGTCACGACAAGGCGGGCAGGATCAGAGGCCTGGAAACAAGCAAATGCGCTACTGATCTTTAGGAAAGGATGAGTGAGCGTTTCTGGAAACTGCCATCTGGTGGGCCTGACACTGGTTCTTAGGAAATTAATGGAACAGATGTTAGAAAAACAAATGTGTGAATGCCGGCTAATGAAGCCCTGATTAATAACTGGCTTTGAAAGAACAAATCCTGCCAAGTATTCCCTGAACCATTGCAGATAGAACCCAAAAGAGGACTCATGATGGCAATTTAAATTTTAAGTTTGCAAGTTGATAGCCCTCCAGACATGGAGAAGCTACTTGGACGGGTAACCTTCTTGAGTACTGACATCCTTGGCTCTGGAGGGAGCTGTCATCAGCATGACTTCAGTTATAATAGTACCTCCGGTAACTGTCGAAGGAGGGAGAAAAGGATATGTCAATGCAATGGGTGCGTTGCTGTAGAAAGGGAAAGGGGAACAGAAAAATGGCAGGTGCCAGTGAGGAGTCCAGACAACGGGCAGCCAGGAGATGGGGGAGCAAGGGGCTGAGAGTCTCCAAGACACCCCAGTGAGACCATCCCTCCTTGGATTCTTCCAGCCCATCAGTTAGACACCTGTTCCCTAAGAAGGACTGACTCCTCTTGGTGGGAATGTCAAGGAGATTTCGAGGAGGTAAGCAGGGTCACTATTTTTTATCACTGGGACCTACAGATTTCTAACAGTTAGATCAGATGTTAGGGCAGTGGTTCTCAACCTTCTGGCCCTTGAAATACAGTTCCTCCTGTTGTGACCCAACCATAAAATTATTTTCGTTGCTACTTCATCACTGTAATGTTGCTACGGTTATGAATCATAACGTAAATAGCTGATATGCAGGATGGTCTTAGGCGACCCCTGTGAAAGGGTCGTTCGACCGCCAAAGGGGTCGCGACCCACAGGTTGAGAACCGCTGTGTTAGGGGGGGTCATCTCCCTTCAGATGAAGAAACGGATGTCCAGAGGGGTCTTGGCCAGGGTCACAAGGGAGTAAATTGACACTAATAAGCAAAGCTCAGGCACAATTGTTATTGATGTAAAAAGACCTTCCTAGGAGAGAAAAGAGAATGTGATCATCTTCTTGACAATTAAATTCACTGAGTAGTAATCATGTTTAAATCATTTGTGGAAGAAGTCAGAGTGTAAATAAGTAACCAAAATGTAATAGCACAACCTTACATTGCATAGAACTTGTATTAACTCAGTTGACCCTCTAACAATCCTTGAGGAAAATGAGAATAAGTAAAATTTACCATTTTACAAATGAGAAAAGGGAGCATCAGGAACGTTAAATGACTTCGGCAAAGTCATTCAGCCAATAGATGGCAGAGGTGGGATTTGAACCAGGTCTTCTGATATCTTTTATTGAAGCAGAGACTCTGGAAGTCTCCTGAGAGGTCATGTAGTAGAGAGATGGTTTCACCAACGAAATGGGGTAGGATTCCATGAAATGGGTCTATGACTGCCAACCTGTGCTTCAGATACGAGCCAATTCCCAGTCAGCTTTGTGGCTTACCCCCTGCTCCTGCAGAACACTAGTATTCCTGAGAGCTGGACTAGAGGGCTGACCTTTACAAATTAAATCATGACCAACTTTTTCCATTACGCACAAAATATATAGATTGATGGCTGCCGTTTTCTCTTTTGAGAGGAAAACAAGCAAAAAGATATTTATGGGAGTATTCATGGAAAACCCTGGAAACAGCTGACCGTGGTTTTAGGCCATGCCATTAGAAATGTTTGCAGACACCTGGGCTCACAGTTGTGCCTTTGCTTGTATACATCATTTCTGTAAGGAAAATTACTGCTGGTGCCAGTGATGGGACTACATATATCAGTGTGGCCGAGCTTCTTTATCCCGGCTGTACATTATAATCACCTGGAGATCTTTTAAAACAGATGCTGCCTGGACCCACTCCCCAGTACAGATTCTCACTACATTGGAGCGTGGGTGGGTCCAGAGTTTGCTTGCTTTTTTTTTTTTTTTTTTAAGATTTCCAGATGATTCTAATGTGTAGCCAGGGTTGAGAACCACAGTTTATAGTGCTTTGCAAAGGGTGCCATGGCTTCCAGATGTTCTGGAAGTTTGAGAAACCGCAGCTTTAATGGTTTAACCTTTCAATGGATTAACCTTTAAATGTATTAGACATGTTGTTTGGCCAATGCATCATTTTTTTTAAAAAAATTTTGAATTAGAAGACTATAAGCATTTTAAGCTAGCGTTAAAAGTTGGGAAAGTTTACAGAAAGATACAGATTTTCTGCTGTTCTGGGACATGTTCTAGTCAAGCTGGACTATAGTCCTAACCGCAAAACTCAGCCCAAACTGAGCAGTGGGTACCCCTTTTTAATGGGGCATGTGCCCTCCAGGCCCCCCACCCCCCACCCCCCACCCACCTTCCCTATACTCTCTAGTCTCTCCATGACCTGAGACCAGTTCCTGTGCAGTTTGCCATGGTGCTTGGGCTGTGGCTTTTCTGCTGGATCGTTTGCATTAGCCGCCCAGCCTCTGTGGGCGCTCATATTTGCAGCCCCTTTAAGGGAAGGTTGTGCCCTAGCTCACTGAGTCTTCGGCTTCAGGGAGTTTAGCAAGCAATAGGAAGCTTGGAAATACAGAATCCCCAGAGATTCTGACTCTGTAATGGTGGGATGGGGCCTGGGAACCCAGTCTTGCCACTCACCTATCCTCTGGACACATTAGGACAAACACCGACTTGGTGTGGGGAGAAGAGCATTGGCAGTAGAACACACGAGTTCTCTTGATATGTCTTTTAATTTTCAGAATGAACACAATCTAAATGTAGCAGCCAGGAAAAAAGAAAGGCTAAAATATCAAGTTTTCTCAGGGACTCTGGGTTTGCTAGTTGCCTTAGCACCGCCCTTTGATGAAAATACGAGTCTCCCTCCAGACACAGGTAATTACAAGCCAGGAGATAAAATGACACCACACTGGGGATATCTTGATAACACGGGTAACAAAGGAACTGAAAAAGCTAAGTCTTCCCCACCGGTGGGTCAGAGAAAGCCTCAACCCACTTCCTACAGCAAAATCCTGGAGAATTATAAAAGGGATTACCCTCTTGCCTTCCTCTCTGGCAGAGACTATGTTGAATCATCCCAGATGTAACCATAAAAATTGTTTCAGCTAAAAAGGACTTTAGAGATTATCTCTGACTGTACAGATGAGGAAACTGAGGCTCAGGGAGGTGACTTGACTAGTTTCAGTGTGGTATACTTGTACAGTCTGGGGCAGCCGTGGGCAAACTACGGCCCGCGGGCCGGATCCAGCCCATTTGAAATGAATAAAACTAAAAAAAAAAAAAAAGACCGTACCCTTTTATGTAATGATGTTTACTTTGAATTTATATTAGTTCACACAAACACTCCATCCATGCTTTTGTTCCGGCCCTCCGGTCCAGTTTAAGAACCCATTGTGGCCCTCGAGTCAAAAAGTTTGCCCACCCCTGGTTTGGGGGCAGACTGCAGAGCAATGAGCTGAGTGCCTTCTTTCTTAGCTCTGCCTTATTTTATGGCCAGGAGATTCACATTGCTACAAACTTTCCCCCAATTCAACGAAAGTTTTTTTTGTTTTTTAATATTGTTTATTGATTTCAGAGAGGAAGGGAGAGAGAGAAACATCAATGATGAGAGAGAATCATTAACTGGCTGCCTCCTACAGGCGCCCCCCCCCCCTCCCAGCCCCCGCCACTAGGGATTGAGCCTGCAACCTGGAGAATGTGCCCCAATCTGGAATCGAACCTTGACTGCCTGGTTCATATGTTAACACTCAACCACTGAGCCACATTGGCAGGGCAAAGGGTTTTTCTTTATCTAATGAAGAGTCTCAGTCAGACTGGGTTACTAAGAGAATAGCTCCTCTCCCCTCCTGCTTGGTCCAGCATGTGATTCGTTCGTGGTGTTCATCAAAATTCTACTGGAGCCTAAAGGTTAAAGGTAGGACTTACAAATGTGTATTCTGCACATTTGCATTAGTGCTTAATAGCGTGCCTTCTGCAGGCAGAAGGACTCGGTTAGGGTCCCTGATCTTTTGGGGCAAATTACTTAACTGATGCAGTCCCTTCATCTCTCACCTCGGTGCCCTTTCTCCTGCACCACAGGAAATGATTCCTTCCTGTTCTCAGCTCTTCAGGCATTTCTGCACCTTGCCCCAACTCCTGCTGGCGCGTCCCTCCCAATGCCTGCTCACTGGTAAGGGGGGGCTGAGAGTGACAAAATGTAGACAGGAATGCAGTCTCATCCCCTCTCAGCAGAGGCTCCGGCACTGATATCCTGGCACGGAGACCCTGTGAGTGCCCTACCACAGACCAGCACCACCCCTGCCACCTTCTTCAGTTCAGGACAGGCTTCCCTCACCCTAAGCCTCTGATGATGGCTCTCTGCTCCGGCTCAGCATCTGTTGGGTGTGTGCCTCTGCCCACTGCCTTCTTTATAAGCAGCGTGCCTTGTGTGTCTGCCTCTCCAGGGCTGGCTCAGCACCTGACCAGCTGCAGGGCGGGCCCAGGCTGTGTCTGCTCAGCCTCTGTGTCACCTCCAGCAGCTGCAGAGAGTCTAGGCCTGCTTCCTGTTTGCACCTGCAAGCCTCCTTGGCATTGCCTGTGTCCCACTGGGCCCTGCCCATCCCCACGACATCCTGCGTAGCATCCTGCTCATTGTGCCAGGGTTTTTGCTCCCTGCCTGACCATGGCTCCCTGGCCCCAGGGCCACCCCTGGCCTGCTAGTTTCAGGGTCCTAGTGCTGCGGCTTGGAGCTGCCTAGCCCTGCCCTGGCTTTTCCCACTATTTGTGCCCTGAGTCTGCAAAAAATGGAGGTCCACTGGCACCCGGGTGCCCTTGCATCTCTCTGGCCCATTCATTCTCAGCTGGGGATTCCAGGCTGGCTGGGCCCCGGTGACTCATAAGCCCTCCTCCCTGGGACTCCTCCTCCTGACCTGGATCATTAGGGTCCCGGTCCTTCCCTCTTGTCCCGGGCTCTCCTCAGACCGCTCCTGCTGGCCAAGGCTTCCCACCCTCCTCAACGACCAGGGCCACTCTCTCCTGCCTTCATAGGTGCCCAGGGGGTGGAGGCCTAGCCATGCAGCGACTGGTGCCCCCGGGAACTGTGAACCCCTGGCAGACCCTGAGTCAGTCCACCCTAGAGGGCCCTGGGCAGGGAGCGCTAGTTCTGCCTTGCCCTATAGCCTCCGCCCCACACAGTAGCCACATCCTAAGGCAGGGCGCTCCAGGCAGCCACAGGACACAGGAGTGGGAACCCCTCCCCAGTAACCACAGGCTCCCACTGGGGCCTTTTGCAGCTTCAGCCAGAGCTGGTCCACCCATCAGCCGCTCACTCCTCTTCCTTCTCTCTGGCCAGGTTCCTTTCAACCCCTGCAGTCCCCCGCAGCTGACCATCCTCACCCGGTGTGCTCCATCCCACCTTCCAGCCCCCACTCGGGGCACTGCCCACCTCCCAGGTGAGCCAGGGCTGAGGTAGTCAGGGTGGTGAGGACACCTGCTGGTAGGAAAAGCAAACAGAGCTGCTCCCAGAGTCCCTGGCTCACATTCCTCCTTCCTGGGCTGTCAGTTTCTCAACATCTGCCAAATCTCTCTCTCTCATGTTGAAGTTTTTAAAAATCCCCGTTCAATAAACACACATGACTTCCACACGTGTACAAACACACAGATGTCTCACCCAGAAGCCTCCCAGCTCCTCAGCACAGACGGGAGCCTCCGGGGAGGACACACTCCCAGACACACGTCCCCTCTGCATCCACAGCCACACCTCCCACCCACTCTTCCCGTGACACGCAGACACAAAAGGGCCGCCAGCAACCATCTACACGTGAGAGCCACAACCCTGCCTTCCCATGTCCACAGGCCTAGAAGGCACCCATTTTGAGCGCATGCATTTATCTACTGTACAGATCCAGACTGTACATTGCCCTAAAGCACTTGTCCATGTGGACAGAGGTGTGTACCCCTCCCCCACGCCCACAGCTCATGTGGGTCACGTGTGTGGTACAGACTGAAGGATCCAGACAGCAAGAAGATGCCTCTTGCCTGGGCTTCAAAAGCGTGACATAGATTAATTTGTAGCTCTTCTTCCCCCAAACTGGAAAAAACTGAACTGGAGACGTGTCAGAGTGAGTTGTGAAAAGCAGGGAGAAGACGGGGTCTCCAGAGTCTTGGAACTGTAGGGCTTGAGAGAGCCCGCGGCCCTGCCCCTTATGACACCTATATGCCTACCGTTACCGACCCGCTCGCATGTGCGACAGAGCACATATGTTAACAGGATGACACAATGCGGTTCCAAATTAAAATCAGTCAAGGATGGGATGTGAGTTCAGCAAGCCGCTCAACTCCAGGACTCCCCGTCTCCCAGAAGTGCCGGGGTCTTATCAGAATGGCTCTGTCTCTCTCCCCACCCACCTCCCCAGCCCCAGCTGCGCATCCCACCCCCTGCGCCTTGGTGTGGGTGGACCAGGGGACCCTGCTGTGTGGCCACCGCCAGGCCCCCTCAGTGGGACTCCCTGCTCCAGTTCAGACCCTACAGAGCAGACACCCCAGTGAGAATTTGGACTTACTGTGTTCCGCCAGCCCTGGGATCATGTCGAATTTATGGATTTCTTTGGCATAGTACTCCCACTCGGTGTTTTCCTGAGCGCAGCCGTCCTCCCTCTCCTCCAGCAGATCCCTGGTGCTGTTGTACAGGGCCAGGATCTGGTAGGGGACGTGGGTCATCACCGATGGCTCTGGGGGACTCGTGAGCCGGAGTTTGCTCAAGATCTGTCCCCTAATGGCTTCCACTCTCTTCTTCCTGATGTGGCTGAAGTCCAAGGTGGTGCAAGTGGACAGAGAAAGGCTGACAGTGGCAAAGTTCAGCAGGGCCAGGACCACCAGAGCCCTTTGCGAGTGCATCTTCATGTGCGAGCCGGGGAGAGAGGCCAGGGCGGCTGTGAGGCCTGGTGAGGAGGAGACCCCAGCAGGCGTGCAGAAGGAGGGAGGAAAACAAGGCGGCCTCCCTAGATCCCGAAGACTGAGGCTTGGCAAGAAGGTGCATGAACTCACTGCACTGCGAGAGCTTCAGGACTTCCAGGAAGCGCTGGCAACCCTGAGCACGAAGAAGCCGACTGTGTGCCTTACAGCTCTTGGTTTCTTCTCCATGTGTCTAAACAGGTTCTGCTGGGCTCGGACTTCCAGCAAGCCAGGTGGAGGGCAAGCAGAGGGCTGGGAGGGGTAGCAAGGCAGCTGGGAGTAAGAAGGGAGCTGGAGTTTTTCCTTAGGTAAAAATAAATAGAGCGGATATCTGATATTGCCAAAGGCTGCTTGGCGATGGAGAGAAAGTAGGGTTTTTTTAAGGAAGGAGCAGAAGGACCATGGCTTGGGTCCCAAAATCAAAATATTTGCCTTGTCCCGAAGAAAAATAAGGAAAGAGAATGAAAAAGAAAAGAAAAAAATGTTAAAAAAAAAAAAAAAAGTCAGATCACCAGTGAGTAGGTGGGGAGAGGCAGGGCTGGGCTGCTGATGGCCCGGCTAAAGGTGAGGGCAGCGGAGGACACACTTGTCTCCCGGGCACACCATTCATGCTTTCTCTTAGGGTGCACGTCCTCGGGGCTTTCTAACTGACTTTGCTCACGCTGCCTCTTGTCTTCACTGGCTGGGATGTGGGGTTGTGTGCAATTGGAAGGCAGTGAGGACAGGCCCCTGGAAAGCAGCCCCAGTAATCCACTTGGACGCCCAGGGTCACCAGCACCTCGGCTTGTCTTCTCCCTCAGCCATTGCTTCTGTTCCCTCCTTCTCTTTAAAAAAATAAAAAGGAGAAGAAAAATAAAATAGAAGCCAGCTCACTGCACGCCTGCTCCGGAAAGCTGTTATTCCTTCTTTCTCAGGCTGCTTCTCCTAGCTCTCGCCTCCCTCGCTCATTCCCTCGGACTTGGCTTTCGTCTTCCCTCCCTTTCTCTCCCTCCTGCTTCTCCCTCTCCCTCTCGCTCCTCTCCCTCTCTCTCACACACATGCACACACACTGCTTTCTCTATTTCTCTCTGCTGAAATTTTATACCTCCCTCCGATGACGTCTCTGGTCCGGGGTGGGGGAGGGAGGGACCAGCGCACGCAGCCTCTTTTGCGGCCCGATCTTAATGTTTTAAACAGGCACAGGAAAAGCCGAGCCCATTTGAAAAATACTTTTCGAGTCCTCTCGTTCGTTCGACGTGGTAACTGAACTTTTTTCCCTCTCCCCTTGGAGTCACTCCTGCTTGCTACACGTTGACTGTTTTTCTGGAAAGTTACTCGGGTGAATCCCCTCCCTCCTCTCTCCCCCAACTCCTTCTCCCTCTCCAGCTGTCAGTCCGTCCTCTCCTGGGCTGGTCTCTCGCTCCCTCCCTGGCCGCGCGTCCCGGGCCGCCCCGGGCCAGGCCGGACACGGGGCAGGTCCCGAGCGCGCGGGGCCGGGGCAGCGGCGGCCGTGCCCCCACCTCGGTGAAGGGTGACGCCCGGGGTTGGAACGGGCTTGGACTTGGGTTCAGCTCCGCGGCCATCCTGGCCCTGATTCTTCATTGACAAGATTGGAGTCGGGCAGCTTGGAGAGGCTTGGAGAGGCTTGGAGATGCTCCAGGGGCGCTGAAAATGGTGGCGTTTTCCGGCAGATCGAGGGTGCCCTCTGGCGTGGCGAGACTGCCAGTGACAGAGGCTCTGCGGGTCGGAGCTGGGAGGGTTGGGGCTGGGGCCGGGGCTGGGGAGAAGGGGCTTGGAGAGAGGCAGAGCGATGCGAGCCGGACCCTCGGGGAATAGCCTCCCTCTCGGCCCGGCCCCGGCGTGCGCACAAGTGCACCTCTCCCTCCCCCGAGCCCTGCGCTGCAGCCGCGCTCGCAGAAATGTCCTCCAGATGTTCGTGGCCTCCCTCCCGCCTGGGGTTCCGCGGGGAACTGCGTCAGCGAGCGCAAAGTCAGCAGTTGGCAGGAGCCCATTTCCCAGATGGGTGAGGGGAATTTTCCTCTCCGCTTTCCTTCTCCTCCTCAACCTGAGCTTCTAGGTATGTCCCCAGGAGAGAATCCGCACAGGACTAGCCCCTGAATGGAATCACTTTCTTAGAAATCAGTGTTGCTCCCTGCCACCCACACCCACCTCACCCCAGCCTTCCAGGGCCCTTCCAGCCAGGCCTGGTTCCTGCTCCTGGCTCCTAGGTTACTAACCAAAAGGGGATGTTCACCCCTCCCCGGGAAAGCGGTGGATCCTTTCACAATTGAAGAAATTAAGGCACAAAGAGATTTTTTAAAAATATATTTTTATTGATTTCAGAGAGGAAGGGAGAGGGAGAGGGAGATAGAAACATCAATGATGAGAGAGAATCATTGATTGGCTGCCTCCTGCAAGCCCCCAACAGGGGATCAAGCCCACAACCTGGGCACATGCCCTTGACTGGAATCGAACCTGGGACCCTTCAGTCCACAGGCCGACGCTCGATCCACTGAGTCAAACCAGCCAGGGCCACAGAGAGATTTTTAAAAGGCCACACTGCTGTCCAGCCGGTGTGGCTCAGTGGCTGAGCGTGGACCCAGGAACCAAGAGGTTCTGGTCAGGGCACATGCTCTGCTTGCCCAGTAGGGGTGCGAGCAGGAGGCAGCCGATCAGCGATGTTCCTCTCTCATGGATGTTTCTATCTCTCTATCCCTCTCCCGTCCTCTCTCTCTAAAAATCAATAAAAACACATTTACAAGTAAAATAAAATAAAAGGCCATACTGCTTATGAGTGCTGGAGGTGATATTTTAATAGGGGCTTTCTGGTTTGCGTGGGCATTATTGTCATTTGCATAACAAATGAGGAAACCTAGGTGTAGAAAGCTTAAAAATAACTTGTCTAAGGTCATATAGCCTGTATGTATCACCACTGACATTTAGGCTGAGGAGCCTATTGCAGGTCTATGAATATAACTATGCCTCTGAAATTCAGCCAGCCTTGGAAAAAATGATTTTCTCTCATCATTGAGGTCTCTCTCTCTCTCTCTCTCTCTCTCTCTCTCTCTCTCTCCCTTCCTCTCTGAAATCAATAAAAAAATATTTTAAAAAAATCTAATATTCTCACTGAGAATCAGAGTTAGTAAGTGAAAGGTTTTAGGGATAATCTCTAAGAGTAATTACAGGGGAAAAAACTGAGTCCAGAGAGACTCTGCCTGGCTACCCAGGTAGTTATCAGCAGAGCTAGCATGAGACCTCAATTCTTCTGACATCCAGGTAATGCTGTTGCTGTCACAACCCTACCCAATAAACATACGGATGAATGATTGAACTGAGTAACTTACTGGGTATTTAGTTTTAGGGTTACTACTCACACTTCCAAGTCTTTGCTTAGTGGCCATCTAGGCCTTACCCCCAGTGTGATTTTGGAGACACTGCTCACTTTCACAGCCATGAGCCCATCACCTGGGAGTCCCAGATGACCAGGGCCAGGGACACAGCCAGTAGTATTGACTTGGTATCTTATATGGGGAGTCAATGAAAACTCAACTTACTTGCCCCGTTAGGCTGGTGAAGGGGTTCAGAACAGGCCTCCTTAAGATGTGCCACTTTGACATGTGAATTATTTTGAGCTGAAGACAATGGAGTCCCTGGGGGCTCATGATAAACTTTTACTTCTCCCTTAAAGACTTTAAATTAGAGGCCTTACCATAATAAGAGTTATCACCAGAAATAACTTTTTTGAAAAATATATATTTTTATTGATTTCAGAGAGGAAGGGAGAGGGAGGGAGGGAGGAAGGGAGGGAGAGGAAATGAGAGAGAGAGAGAGAGAGAGAGAGAGAGAGAGAATGATGAAAAGCACAAAAGAAAGAAACATCAATGATGAGAGAGAATAATGATTGGCTGCCTCCTGCACGCCCCCTACTGGGGATCGAGCCCGAAACACCAGCATGTGCCCTTGACCAGAATTGAACCGGACCCTTAAGTCCACAGGCCGATGCTCTATCCACTGAACCAACCAGCTAGGGCCAGAAATAACTTTTTGTATCTATAGCTCTGTTTATCTATAGCGCCAGGCAAACCTCTAATTACTGAACATCTGTTCTTCTACTCCTGCAATGATATTCATCCCCTCTGATGCCCCAAGGTGTCTTATTTCATCCTTAGCTCAGAATGTCACATGTACCTCTTTTCCCCTTTTTGTCTCTGACTTCTCATTATATGGGATCTCTGACTCATATATATGGGGTTCCCATATTTATGTAATTAAATTTTGTTTTTTTCTCTTGTTAGTCTGTCTCCTATCGATTTGATTATTAAACCAGCCAAAAGAACTCAGAGGGTAAAGGAAAGCTTCTTCCGCCCTCGCACTGGGAATTTGAGGGATATCTTCCTTTACGGGCCTAGGAGGATGGCTGGCACTCAGTAATAAGGGCTGAAGAAAAATACTCCAGTAAGATACGGTGCCAGAAAGGCGCCTAGCTCTGCTGCTTAATGATTTCCCTCCAGCCGTCTCTTTGCACATCTTCAATTGTGGAATCATTGAATATTGCTGCTGCTTACTTTATGTTGTTGGAAGGATTATTTGACTTTTGCAAGTTATTACTACTAGGGGTTTTGATGTGTTGGTTCCGCCTCTCTGTGACGTTTTTGAAGACAGAGATTATGTATATTGCATTTTCCGTTATAAACCATTTATTAACACCTGATCCTTGTAGCCCGTTTCCTCATCTGTGCAATGGAGATAATGCAACATATCTTGCTTCCCATACAAGGTTGCTATGCCCTTCACAGGAGCTAATAACTGTGAAGGTCCTCTGTGCATTGTAAAGAGCTATATAAATGGGAGGGATCAGAATAATCGCTACTATTAGTAGTGGTGCTTTGCAATGAATAACTTACGTATTTAAAAAAGGGCAAATGTTTTCCCACTGTCCCACAGGAGCAGCCTTAGCGGAATGTGATACCTGGCGGTTTCTTCCGGATGTCAAGCAAGGCGTTTAGGAAATATTTAAGTTGGAGGATGGTACAGAGAATCCAGGAGTAATGCCTCGACCCTTTAAATTTCGGGACGGAAGGGCGGAGCCATCGTCAGGGACGCCAAGGGGCCGCTAGGTTTCCAGGAAGTGACGTCAGGCGGCCGCGGAGATGGAGGACGTGCTGGACCTGGGCGAGGAGCGGCGCCGCGGCCCGGCCACCTCCGTGAGGACTGTGGCGGGGGCGGGAGGCGGGTTGGGGCCAGAATTTGGCGGGTGGGGAGGGACGGCTCCGCGGGCCCGGCTCCCGGCGGCGCCTCGTGCGGCCGGTCCCAGCGGCCGGAGCCGCGCTGCGGAGGCGGAGGCGGAGAGGAGGCGGTGGCTTCGCGCGCCCCGCCCCCGGGCCGCGGGGGGCTCAGCCTGGGGTTCGCTTTCTTTAAAATCCTCAAGAAGTGGGAAACCGCCCCCGCCGTCCTCCGGGCTCAGTGGAAACTTGCCCCGTTCTCCTTGGCTTTCTGGAGCCCCAGGGGCGAACTTCCCTGGAAAGGACGGCTCTGCGGGTGACCCGAGGCGCCCGGCCAGGGTCGTCCTTGCGCCCATTCTAGAGCTTTCCCGTCGGACTCTCCTTATGGCAGACTTACATAAAACCCGCACTGTCTCATACGTGGGAGGCAGGGCTGGGCTTTTTCTTTTTTTTTGGCCCGTAGCCCCGGGGAGCAGTTTTATAGTTAAGGAAAGCAAGACTCAGATTTATAACGTTGAGTGCTGGGGCCCAGAGGTCAGATGGAGTCTAAAGCTGTTGCGAGGGTCTAAAAAAAGCTAACCTCTCCGAACCTTGGGCTCCTCGTCTCAGAACGATGTTGCTGTCTGCCCTAAGGAGTTGCAGTGAAGACGGAATAGGATTGTGCGTGGGAAAGCCTTAGCACAGTGCCTGGCGATTGCTAAGTTATTAGAAGACGTTCGCTGCCGCTCTTCTGCAGCTGCGATTCACCCAGTCTCGAGGGTCAGTAACAAACCAAGCTGGATTCAAGACTCAAGTTCAGCGATTTTTTGTTTTAACTCCATTCACACCCCCCTCCAAGCCTTTTTACCTTTAGAATAGTCAAGAGTACATTTAGTAAAAGATTGAGCCACCGGGCAGAGCTTTAGCCTGCGCTGTGGACTGTGGAATCTCTTAAATGTTATTTTGTTTTTTAATACCCTGGTAGCATCTGCTGTCCTCCAAGGCACTGGATAGGAGCACCTCCCTAAGGGAGAGCTGAAGCATACGAACAAATAGTTCTAGGACAGTGGTTCTCAACCTTCCTAATGCCGCGACCCTTTAATACAGTTCCTCATGTTGTGGTGACCCCCAACCATAAAATTATTTTTGTTGCTACTTCATAACTGTAATTTTGTTACTGTTATGAATCGTCATGTAAATATCTGATATGCAGGATGTATTTTCATTGTTACAAATGGAACATAATTAAAGCATAGTGATTAATCACAAAAACAATATGTAATTCTATATGTGTTTCCCGATGGTCTTAGGCGACCCCTGTGAAAGGGTCGTTCGACCCCCAAAGGGGTCGCGACCCACAGGTTGAGAACCACTGTTCTAGGACGAAGCAGGTTGCTTGATTGACCAAGGAAAAAATGAGGAAAAAAATGCCTTGGGGAAAAAAATGAGCTGCTTATTATCAGGAAGATTGTTTCCATCATCTCTGAAACCTAAATGATTGATTAAAATTTGAAATGGCCCGGCTGGTGTAGCTCAGTGGTTGAGCATTGACATAGGAACTATGAAGTCATGGTTCAATTCCCAGTCAGGGCACATGCCTGGGTTTCAGGCTCAATCCCTAGTGGGGGGGGGGGGGGGTGTGCAGGAGGCAACCTATCAATGATTATCTCTTATCATTGATGTTTCTTTCTCTTTCTCTCTTCCTCTCTGAAATCAATAAAAATATATTAAAAACAAAATTTGAAATGTAAACACTCTGTAAGAGTTTTTATGCAGCTCCCATGTACCCCTTCTCAATTTGTCGGTACAGATAGTTCTTAGGGTATCATAAAACTGAGATTCCAGCATGGTGTAGTGGAAAGAACTCAGAATTTGAAGACAAGAAGATTTTGCTTTGAGATTTATGTCTGCCACTTAATTGCCTTTCTGGGCATTGATTTCCTCATTTGTAAAATGATATTAATCCCAGTACCTGTTATTCTGAGATCAAATGAAACTATATCAAGTGAGGTCTGAAAGTATTTCTATCAATGCTATTTTGTCTTTTAAAAGCCAACAAATGGCGCTAGTGGGTTTAGTTCAGTGGATAGAGCGTCGGCCTAAAGACTTCATGAAGGGTCCCAGGTTTGATTTGGTCAAGGGCACATGCCCGGGTTTCAGGCTCCATCCCCAGTAGGGAGAGTGCAGGAGGCAGCCGATCAATGATTCTGTCATCATTGATGTTTCTCTCTCTCCCCCCCTCTCCCTTCCTCTCTGAAATTAATAAAAATAGATTTTTTTAAAAAGCCAACAAATGAATAGATAAATATTTTAGTACCCATTGGTCTGCCTAAATAAAGTTTTGTTGATGTGTTGTGAAGCATTTGAGATATAGAGCCTCCCCTGCAGGAGGACTTTGGGGAAAACCTGCAGAAGGTTCATTTGATGACTCAGAATGTGAAGTGTTCTGATTTCCAAAGCTGATGTCTCAACATGCTTGTAGGAGATTTTCTTTCAGGTTGTAAACGGAAATCCAATTTAGTTTACACGTTAAAGCAGACGCTACCTGTATTTCTCTTTTGGCAGTTCCCATGGAATTTAGGAATTCTCTCTCAAAAACTTTTTTTTGATACTGTTCTCACGTCAAGCTGCAGCTTTGAAAGTAGGTCTTCCTAAAATCCTGCATGAACATGGGAGCCTTTACCATACTCTTCCTTAAACTGGCATGAGGTCCCTGCCCATTCCAGAGGAATTTCTAGTTTCATTTTCTTTGGGTAGAAATGATCTATGGTAGTTAAATGAAAACCTATGATCATTAACCCATGAATTTCCTATTCTTCTACCAAAGAGAACTGACCTTAGTTGCTTTTAGGGTTTGGAGCATTTGCTAAGAATATATTCAGATTACTTCACCATGTATTCATAAATCCAGGTCTTGCTTACCTTCCCAGAACTCTTGTCCTCATAGCTGCTCAAAGATGTTTGGGTCAGCAGTGCCCCTCATTTCTTCTTATAGGAGGCCAAGATGGGTCGCCGAGCTCAACAGGAGTCAGCTCAAGCCGAGAATCCCCTCAGTGGCAAGAATTCTTCGATTCTGACTGGAGAGGTGGGTGTTAAAAAATCTGAGGAAATGCTACAAATTAGTATTCCATATTTCTTCTCTTTAATTCCAACTCTTCTCCTATCTAGATTTGGGAATTCCCTTCCTGGGCATTTGTCATCTGAGTTAGAAATGAAAAAGAAACACTTTATCTTCGATGCTGGAATAGTTTCGGTGCATTGCTTTCTATTCTCAAGGAAGAACTTTGTAAAGTTAGCTGAAGCAAGGGACTGGGAAGTTTCAAAATCTAGTTGAAATCCAGGTTGTTATTTCTACTGAATGAAGGCCAGTGACGCATGCTGGTGACACCAAGTTAGATTACACACCTGGACATCTCACGGGGACCTGCACTTCCTACAGTGTCAGGCAGGAAGGGGATCAGTACTGGCCTTATTTTCCTGGAAACTTTTCCTCTGAGTAGCCCAGACTTATGGGAATTTATCCGGTTTCCTTGTAGAGGGTGGGTAATCCTGATGAGCAATTCTTTTAATGCCAGGGTACTATTTTCGGCAGCTTCACCTTCGTTTGTCTGTTTGAAAAAACGTTGCCCTTTTCAAGAATCTGCTTCAGGGTAATCCCCTCTGTCAGTCAGCTCTTCTCCAAGTTGAGGTGGGGCTCCTTCCTCTCAGTTTCCATAGAATATCTCACATTATATGCTAATTTTTGTTTTACGTGTCTGTCAGCCCCGCTAGACTTTGAGTTCTCTGACAGCAGGAAACCTGGCTTCTCCGTTGTCTGGCTCCTGGGCCCATAGTAGGTTGAGAGTAGATGAGGGGATGTCACTGATAGAAATGTGGGTACAGAGAATCATTTCTCTACTCTAGGATACCAACCATGCCAGCGCAGAAAAGCTGGCAGCTGACCCTTGGCCTCATTGCCTGAAAACAGTAGGGGAGTGTGAGTTGGGGGGGATTGTGGGAACTGGAGGCCAATGCCCCTTCTAAAGGGGTAACCACTACATAGCCAGAGCTGACTGATGCTGTGGGGAACACAGGCCCAGTGTTGCCAGATCCTCTGACTTCGCAAGAGATGTTGGCAGTCTAAACTTGTATATGAAAGCAACAATTTTTAGAGGTTAGTAATTAATATAAAAATTATGGCCTAGAGTAGGCCTGAAGGTTGTTAGTATGTGACCTTTGGCCATAGCACCCCCATTATAGTGCTTATTACATTGTAGTCTAACATTTTACAAGTCTGGCTCCCTCATGAAATGTGAGCTTCTGGGAGACAAGGGTGTGTCTTACCATTGTACATCTTTGTTATCACAGTGTCTGTCACAGAACAGGTATGCATTTGACATTGCAAAGGATGAGGGGATGAAGTGCATAGTGTGTGATGGGGGAGCTTAGAAGCTGAGTAATACTGTTATAGGGCCAGGGGTTGGCAGATAGTGGAACATTGGAGGCACGGTTATGGGTGTGGTTGTATAATATAAAAAGACAGTGAAAGAAGGCATACCAGCCCCAACCTGGATCTCAAGAAGCTTGAACTGTAGTAAGGTACATCTTTAAAGAGAAAAGGGGCAAACAGATGATTGGATTAATGGAAATCTATTCTTGGCCTCTGGCCACTTTAGAATATAGTTCTAGGAGGATCCATCGCAATGACAGATGACTTATTCATTTATTCAGCAAATATTTATTGAAGCTTTCTGTGTGCAGGCACCATTTTAGGACTTGGCATATTTCAGTGAACAAAAGAGACAAGGTTCCCTGCCATAACAGAACTTATATTCTTGTGATTATTGGCAGTTAGGAAGACTGACTACGGGTCTACTTAATTGTGAAGGAGGTTACAGCCTGTAGTGGTCAGGTGAGCGAGCCCGTGATGGGCCAGGATGTCCTGGAATGACCTATGGCCTTGAAGCCCGATGTGGCCCCCATACCAAATGGGCTCCTCAGCTGGGGTCAGTAAGCACTGTTCCTCTACCCACCCCCTTCCCCTTGGCTTCCAGCAAGAGTCAGTTCTGTGAGCACATAACTCCAGAGTCACAGACTCTGATGAACCTTGTAGGGTTTCAGCCTTTCTGGAATACTTGCTTATTTCCTTTTTTTTTTTTTTTTAAACTATGAGCGTTAGCATTTTTCTGGGAGAACATGATGAAAAGTCATTCTCATCTTTGTCTAATGGGTGTATCTGACAGCGAAATGCCTGTCAGAATTCCAGGATTCCTTCTCTCCCTGGGTTAATTGAGGTTCAAAGCAGTGTGGGCAGCCCCCCCCCCCCCCCCCCCCGGGGCCAGATGCTCACTGTGCTGTGTGGGACTTTTTGGCTGTTTCTTTCTAAAATTAGATCCTAAGACTTGTGTGTGTGCCCATTTACATTCCGAGTGTATTACTTGATATATTTATTTTTGTCCTCTCGCTGACTATATTCTATGATGAAGCTATTCATGAAACTGTAACTGTGGTACCTGGGCTTGTCAGACATATTGGAGTTACTTTAGGGTTAAGTAGGAAAGTAGTTCAAACAAGTTACCTTAAAGCGAGATGGCAGAGTTGGGAGCGCTGGCGAAGGAAGCAGAGAAGGGGTCCACTGGAAGAGAGAGAGCACAGGACTTGGCATCAGAAGACCAGGGCTTGTGACAGCTCTGCTAATTAATTGCCTGGATCTTGAACTAGTCCACTAATCTCTCTAATCCTCCATTTTATTATCTGTCAAATAGTGGTAACAATACTACCAGGTTGCTGTGGGGATTAAGTGAAATATGCAATTAAAAGCACTTTAATAACGGAGAAGCCTGGCACAAGTGTTCATTCATGCAGTAAACTAGTGAACAAGTAAGTATTTGGACAGTGCTCTGCTGTTTTTAGTAACGAAGAGGATGTAAGCTTGGGTCTCTGCTAGAACTGTTTGGAAAGGCTCTTCAAGGCTGCTCCTCATGTAACCACAGGTTGACCAGTAGGGATCCCAAGCAGTTTTTGTGCTTTCTGGGTGCAGTGGACATTCCTTACACGAGTGGACAACAGCACAGGTCTTGGGGTCATGCAGGAGGGTCATTCCGGCCTGGGCTCAAATCCTGGCTCTGCCGCACATTAGTTCTATGACTCCGACCGAGGGGATAAACGGGGATATTAATATTACATACTCCGTAAGGGTGGCTAGAGAGAAAAAATGAGGTCATAGACGTAAAGCTCTTAATACAATCTGGGACATAAGTGCCCAATATATTGCTAACCATTATTTTTCTAGACTTTTCTCCTTTTTAGTTTGCCTTAACCATCTCTACAAAGGTTGAAAACTGGTGGTCTTCAGGCTGAATTTCACCTATAGTCATGTCTTGTTTGATGTGGGCAGAGTTTAATTTTTTTTCTTTTTATTTGGTTGTTATCGTTTATAAATTAGGAAACTTCATGTGAAAATCTAAATTTTGGGCTTCTTTCTAAAATCAGAAGTGTTGGCATGGTGGGAGTGCTGGGCTGGCATTCCCACAAGGCTGGAGCTGGCTGGAGCTGGTAACAGTGCTCGCGTACATGCGACCTGCCCTCTCCATTTCGCCACTTGGCCACTTGTTACTGTAATACACCTGGTCAGATTTACTCACATTTGGTCTGCCTGGCTTCTACTTCCATTTGAGTTTCAAACTCCTGCTTTTTTAGGGTGGATTGATTTTCAGGTGTCCTTGTGTGTCTGTTAGTGTTGAATTTGGCTACATCCATCAGAAACTCAACCCCAGTGCTTGAATCAAACAGGCATGATTTTTCTCGCAGCAAGAAGCCCAGAGGAGGGCAGGGCAGGGCAGGGCTGGTGCGGTCTTGCATGACCCTTTCCCCTTCTAGTTTCTAGCTCTGCCATCTGGAGCTTGGGACCTATTCTCATGGTAGCAGAATGGCTGGTTGTTCCCTGGGATCAGAGCTGCAGTCTGGAGAGGAAGAGAAAGGATAGTTGAAGCGTTCAAGGTGAATGCCAACCAAGTGTGTCCCTTCTTTCTTTCTAGGAAAACAGTAGCCAGAGACCTCACCAAGTGGACTTCTAGTTACATGTTATTGGTCAGAACTGTGTCTTACAACCACCTTATTTTGCAAGGGAGTGTTCAACTGGGCATGTGGCCACACCCATAACATTGGGGTGTGTTTTTTTTGTTAGAGAGGAGAGGAGAGGAGAATAGAATGGCTGTTGGGTTGGCAATTTGCACTGACATGTGTTTTTTAAAAAAGTAGAATTTATGCAAAGTTGTGTGTGTGGTTTTTTTTTAAAGATTTTAAAAAATAGATTTTTAAAGGGAGAGGAAGGAAGAGAAAGAGAGAGAAACTTTGATGTGAGAGTGAAGCATCAATCAGCTGCCTCCCATATGCCCCCCATGAGGGATTGATTGAACCTGCAACCTGGGCATATGCCCTGACCTGGAATTGAACCGGCAACTTCGGTGCATGGGATGACGCCCAGCCAACTGAGTCACACTGGCCAGGGCTTTTTTTTTTTTTTTTTTTTTTTTTAATATATTTTTATTGACTTCAGAGAAGAAGGGAGAGGGAGGGAGAGATGGAAAGATCAATGATGAGAGAGAATCATTGATCGGCTGCCTCCTGCATGCCCTCTACTGGGGATTGAGCCCACAACCCGGGCATGTGCCCTTGACTGGAATCAGACCTGGGACCCTTCAGTCTGCAGGCTGATACTCTATCCCAGGAGTCCTCAAACTTTTTAAACAGGGGGCCAGTTCACTGTCCCTCAGACCGTTGGAGGGCTGGACTATAGCTTAAAAAAAAAACTATGAACGAATTCCTATGCACACAGCACATATCTTATTTTGAAGTAAAAAAACCAAAACGGGAACAAATACAATATTTGTATTTGCATGTGGCCCGTGGGCCGTAGTTTGAGGACCCCTGCTCTATCCACTGAGCCAAACCGGCTAGGGCTTTTTTTTTTTTTTTTTTTTTTTAATGTAGCCTTGGGTATGAAAGGGAAGAATTATTTTTTAGTAGTAAAAACAAAACAAAACAAAAAATCAACCCACATCTCTCTCTAGTTTTTTTAATTTAAATTTGTGTAGTGTTCGGTGA